AAAAAAAGAAGTTGATAGCTAAAGCAGCTCCACTATTCTGCTAAAAAGTAACACTGCACACTTTCTTCCCTTGAAAAGGTTGCTTATGCTGCTCACAATCCTGTATTTTCTTTTGCTTTCAAGACATAACTACTTGTTTTCCTTCAGAGGAAACACTGTCTACATCTCGGCGTCTCCGCTATCTGCTGTAGCCCACACACTGGTTACAGAGTGGGTCATGTAGCAGAACTGTTGACAAACTTGGAGCGGACAGCAAGAACAAGTTATGTTGTACACTCAAGGATACACCTCCCCAAAAATCAACTATTAAAACACTGCTTCACTTTGACACAGCTTTACACTAATTCTTGTCACTTCTCTTCCAAGGAATTCCAAGATCTTTCAGGCTTTGGTGTGAATAGTTCAGAGGACTGAAACAAGCACTGGGGTTTGCACCAACGAACCCATGTTCGTAGCCTCCTCAGCCCGCTACCTTCAGTTACCGCACACCAGCTGCTCTTTGGTGATCACACGCATGCGGGCAGCAACACAAGCCAACCTCCTTCTCTTTCACGTGAAGGTGAGAAACAATCAGCAGTGGGTCCCCAGCGGCAGGAGAGGAAAGCAGAAAAGGGAGGGCACCGGTTTGAGGAAGACGCATATAGCAGAGAATGAGGAGGAATTCACAGCAGCCTTTAGAATGAGGGGATGCAGCAAATTTTTGTTTAAAAAAAAAAAAAATGAAGAGCCTGTCTTACAACACTACCTGAAGTTCTGCTTCAGCTATCGCCCAAACCAATACTGGAGAACTGCAGTAGTTTTCTCATAGACTGCTAAGCAGCAGCAAGAGTAGAAAGGGTTTCCTGGTTCCTTATTCTGACACCCACTATGAGTTCTGGTTCTGTTTCATCTCTGTGCATCCATCAACTGGCAACGAGGCGGGGCAGTGTGAACCACTCAAGATGAATTTCCTGCAGTAGATAAGCATGAAAGCATGGAATAGAAAAAGGAGGTTACAGGAGAAAAATTACACTGATGAGCACTTATTTTTTTTTTCTTAGGACAAATAACTAACTCCCAAACTGCCTTACAGAATGAATGAATTCTACTGTGGGCAATGACAGAAGTACAATGAATGAAAACTTACTTAAATTAATTCACTTTTTGATTACAAAAAACCCAATGTAATCTTCCTCTTAAAAATTAATTTCCGTAGGATTTACACCATGGAGTGACAGGACGCCTTGCAACAGTCTCCTAGCTTTAAGATGACATGTAGTATACTTGCAGCTTGCTTCTTCACACATGGAACACACTTCTTCACAGGCAGCCATTTTTTGCACTAAACTACGTCCAAGTGAAAAATAAATGTGGCATAGAAATTACCTTTCTGGCTGCCAACACACAAAAAGGATGCATAAACCAACAAAATATCTAAAACACAGCACGCTGTATTACACGTATGATTTGTTTTTCATTTCAAGTTTATTAAAACTTTAGCAGTACAAATGATCCAGGTTTTAGATTATCAAAAGACCAAACTGAAGTCCACATCTTTAAAAAAGGCGTTCCCCAAAACGTCTCTAAAACTTTGAGACAGTGGAAACATTAAGTCCACAAACTCATCCGTGCCTGTCGTCATCTGTTGCAGGACTTGTTTCATGATCAGACTTTTTATCCTTACTAGGGGCATCTCTATCTTGATCTCTTTCCTGACTCTTTGATTTTTGGTTTATTTCTTTTTCTGCCGAGGACCTGGTCTTTTCCTTTTCTTTACTGCTGCGTGAATAGGATTTTTTTGATTCTCTGTCTTTGCTACTTGGTCTCTTTTTTGAGTCTGGACTTCTATCTTGATCTCTACTAGACTTCTTATCTTTACTGGATTCAGGACTGCTGCTGTCATGGCTTTTTGAACGCCTCTTCCTTTGGCTTTCAGAATCATTCCTCTTATAGGAGCTTCTACTTTCTCTATTTGAGTACCTCTCTCTGTTTCTGCTTTGACTTTCCTCCCTCTCTGAGCTCCTGGATTCTCTCCTCCTCCTGTTTTCTCTTCCTCTGTATTTATCTGGTGTACCTCTCCTTTCTCTGCTTCTTTTTTCCTATCTCTGTCTCTATCTCTGTCTCTATCTCTATCTCTATTCCTTGAATAGTCTTTACTTCTACTGCGATCTCTGTCTCTGCTTCTCGATCTACCTCTCCTACCCCTATCTCGGCTTTTGCTCCGATCCCTTGTTCTGCTGCTGGAACTGTGTTTCCCTCGAGCATGCTCACGGTCTTTGCTTCTTGACTTACGTTTCTCCCTGTCTTTACTCTTCCTATGGTCTTGTTCGTTACTTCTTGAGCCTGCCCTTTTACTTCTCTCCTTGCTCCTGCTTCTTTCTTTATCTCTCCCTCTAGAATCATAGCGCTTCTCTTTGTCTCTACCTTTCTCATGGTCTCTCTCTTTGCTTCTTGATCTTGCTCTCTTTTCATCATGTCTACTGTGCTTAGAGTCTCTTTCTTTACTTTTCGATTTCTCTCGGCTTTTACTATGGCTTCTAGATTTAGCTCTTTTCTTGGTCTTGCTTTTGTTATGCTTGTCATCTTTTTCTGAATTCCTTCTTGTCTCCCTGTCTTTGCTGCTGGATTTGTGATCTTTTTTCTTCTCTTTTTCCCCTCTTCTGCTTGGACTTTCAGAAACTTGTCTGTGGTCTGATGTTTTTCTGTCTTTTCCTCTTCCTGGGCTTTTTTGATTATCTTTCTTGATTTCATTTATTTCACTCCTTGGAGAGAGAAAGACACAATTTTTAATTTTATTATTCATGTACTACATAATATTTATTTTACAAATTTATTTTTAATTCTCTCCACTCTGAAAATTAAGTCAGAAGTTAAATAGCTTCACAACTGAAACTTAAATCATATTAGGGCCTCTAGATTAACAATTAATATTTACAGTAGCATGAATAAAATCAGACACAGTTAAGTAATGGGATAACTAAGGTAGCATCCTAGTTTTTTGGGAGTAACTGTAACTGAAAATTTAAGACAAGAAGTAT